GCGAAACCTCGTCCACAAGAAACCTCGGTTAACTTGACCGTCACCATTAAACTATCAATTCAAGGTATCGACCACCACAAAGATTATGGGTTTTAAACCCCTGATTAATTATGGGCTCTAAGCAGCGAAGACACGCCACAATAAAGACCATCACCGAGTAAAATCAATATTCTCTTACATAAGAACTGTGCAGCGCGGTACTCAGAAAAAACATCACCGACATTAATGCTGCCAGCAAGTTTGTACGTTAAATAAGTACCGCGAATTACCGACGTCAGTACAGTATATCCTGAACTATACCTTTTGGAACAACACTATATGAAACCATAGATCCGCTGAATAACAGCGCGAACGTAGTCTACGTGCAAAACAATAAACTTCCCATATATATATTGGATTCATTATTTATTGCATTATTACGCGCTTCAGACGTAGCATAAATTTATCATCGCTTTTACCGAGAAAAAATATATTATGATGCACATTTATCGTAGGAAGAGAAATCACTACTATCCTCTTCTGCAATCTTCATTATCAATTCTGGAAATTCATTTTTTAACGATGACGTCAGCCTGCATCAAAGCAGATTCCATTTCGTGCCATTACTAAGGAATTATTACGTAAGCAGTACCAATGGAAAATTTTGCGTTAAATCGGGTGTATAATAACGTCGGCTCGATAGCCAGCACACAATGGTTACGGACGTCTAAAGCAGCAGTGCCCAATTCAAGAACTTCAGCGCTATTTCTCCAGCTTTAACTGTTGCAGATAAATATGACGAAAAGCAATTGTATTTTGACGTCGGTGGGGATGAATTAATGCTCTGAAGCCTGCGAAAGGAAAAGATGGAAAGTCTTGAATCGTTGGAATGTTCGTCTTTTGCATTTCCATGGTGGGACCATTTCTGGCCCTCCTCTTTTCATGAAACTCATGATCCCCACGCATTAATCTCCATTTCCATGCCAATAGCCATGACTGCATCATATTAAAGGGAGATGCGATCTGACAGGGACTCGAACCCGTCACCTCTCGGTTCCGAGTTCGACGCTCTACCGGCTGAGCAACCGCGGGTATCGTCGTCTGAATACTGAACGACTTCTTCACGTGGAAGATGGTGCTATCATAGTGGGTGAACAACGCAAAACTTTCTTTAAAAAAATCTTACTTCAAGAAATTGAAGTTAGGATTAAACTACGTATATTAACTCTGAAGACGAATCGATTTGGTCCGAAACAGCAGATTGAGCGAGTGAAATATAGAGAAGTAAACTTGTACATTGCTGCTCCGTTTGTGACACTCGGCAAAACAACTTTCATTCACTGTAAACTAATTTAGCAGAAAAAAACCTAGAAATTGCTCACCGTAATAAAGTATCAGTAAAGCAGAAAGTATAACAAAAAACAGAAATAGTACAGTAAATATAGTTAAAACGCATTCTATGGGCACGATCAGTTGTACTGCATTTGCGAAGTACGCACCCAGTAGATTTCGAACAGGCACGTGATCGACAGAAGGTACTAACTTGCAGCAGTAAACCGACGTGCGTCGAAACTATAGCAATAGATTATTAGATTACCCACGGAAAATTCCCTTTATCTATGCGCATATGCCCAACCTCGGTTCAAAATTGAGGGAGAAAACAGGATTCAAACACGCGATGACATGGAAGGATAAATTATGGCAGGGATCAAATAATCATCGTATTCCTCGAACCTTTATCTTCGTCATGATATCTTTACTACAAATTGGGGACTTTAGGCTTCCGTCTACATTAATCCTCAAAAAGCGCACGATCAAATCTCTTATAATTTGGGCGCGGTGGCACTGTGGCTAAGAGGTCGTTTTGAAAATGGAGGTGCCGGGTTCGAATCTGCTAAAGGTAAAACAATTTTCGTCTTTGCCGTGAATTCCCTTGAGCAAGGAATTTACCCGATCTTGTTTCGGCACCACCAGTCAATGACAGATGAATAATATGGAGAGCATGGCATTCCGGTTTGGTTAGACCGGAATAGAACGAGGTGCATGAAACTGGATAAAGCACCGGATTTGGCGATATGTTCCCCTTTCTTCTTATGAAACTAATGCAAAAGGATTCTGCGTCAGACGAGTAAGAGAGTGAAAACAGGGGGAGTGTTTTGGAAAGAAACTGGCAGCTGCCAGGTAATTTAAGACGTTAAAATGTTTAAAGCATATCATACAGCTGGTTCAGGTTCGTTTTCATTTACATCGCATACTGAAGGGTGGTGCAAGCACTGAGAAGTAACATGCCAAACCACAACAGAGCAATTCAACAGCCTTCAAA